TGAGCTGCGGCAACTTCCTCAGAATGATATTTGTTGTAATACTAAAGAATGTTGATTAGTACCAAAGGTGTGCCATTATTATTTTTAAGAACATGTTTATATATTAGCTGCCTGTGCTAGGAGTGAAACACTTTACTGCCTGCCATACCCACATAGATTAACACATTGCTAAATTATAAAAGAAAACATAGGCATTCTCTTTTTTTCTCTGCAGAGATAATTAATTTTTTTGGCCTTTCATGTTTTAAATGAAGAGGTTTTTTTCTTCTGCACAAATGTCTGTCATATTTTTGTAAATGATCATCAATTTGTTAACTGAGTTCTTTTCCCAGCACTCCCTCTCTAGAGACAAAATTCTCACTAAAATGGTCAGCTTACTTCAGGGCTAGGCTATATAACTGTGATTAATAAATAAATAAAATTTCAAGCTGGTAGGAGTGGTATCATATGGTAACATTTTCCTCTATGCCAAATACTGATCTGCATATATCCAGAACAGGGCATTTGGGAGACACTAACTCTTCTTTCTCACAAGCTACATAGAGGGCATTTGGGAGTATATTTCTGCTACTGTGGGGAAATAGTTTATGGCTTGCCAATCTATGTACAAGATGATAAAAGAGCTAATTTTTATGCATATGGGTGGGATTTGTTTTCATTATGTTACAGCGTAGACATTCTTAACTTCATGGCAGATCCCTGTTTTCATACTGACTTGCAGTTTGTTCACTTAGGATATAGGACTTAGGAAGATTATTGATTGAGTGATGTATAAGCCACCTCACTCCAAAAACTCTAGATTTGTATGGAAAATAACGAGGATAAGAAATAATGCTACCATCAGACGGACTGAACTGATCCATGTCTGGCAACAGTTTTTAATAACTTACTAAAAGGGAACAACTTGACTGTTACTTTGGTTCTTACATGTTTACCACCACAGTTGGGTAGTGGGAGTCATATGGATATTTTGCCTCAGGCTAGCAAATGTCTCTGGTATTTACAGATCAGTAAACAGATCCAGTTAGTAGTTGCTGCTGTTAAGTTCTTAATGAATAGCAGAGAAGAGACTGCTCCACCAAAAAGAAAACTTCTAAAACCTGGGGTCCGTGATTGTTCGTGGTCTCTATCTCTTCATCTCAAAAACATCATACTCCTTCAAATAATCTTTTATCTTTTCCTTGAGCAGAGAGTGCCTGCCTTTATGAGCAAGGTGAATCCTATTTCAAGAGACAAAGTAATGTTATATGTGGTCTTCTACACTCGCTGAAAAAATGAAGGCCTTTATTTAATGAGATCCTTCTAGCAGGATCTGATTTTTCTGACAAGGAGTTATAGCTGAAAAATAATTTAAGAAAAATATAATGTTACTCATATATATCTGCTTCCAGCATTTGTCTAATTGCCTTGTAGGGTTATATCATAATGTAGTAGACCATACAGGAATGCATGCATTCACTCTTCTGTGGTTTTCTGTACCTTCTCTAAACAACCATGTGTAATTATAAGGAAGATAATCCTGGCTGATAAGTAAAAAAAGGAGAAAAACCCTACTATTTGTTAAGTATTAACTAAATAAAAATACAGTAAATCCTTCATTTAACAGACTGAATGTCTGTTAAAACTGAGATTTTTCAAGCCTATAAAAACATCCATATATGAGATTATTGTGTTAAATAATACTCTGTTGTAGTAATAGCAACAACAGTATTAATAATAATAGTAAATGCCCAGTATAGCACTTAGCAAGGTGACAGTGGAAAAACCAAAAGGAGTGCCGATGTCATCTACTGAAGAGTTTCTGGCTTCAGATGATATCTTCATTTTCCTCTAACAACTGCAATACATCTTCAGTTGCTTCCTCTTTGCCAGCCTCAGTTTTGTGTTAGTTATTCAATTCAAATCCTTCAAGACCATATCCGTGTTATAAAGCAGTTTTTTTCTAGCCATTAGTCAACATTTCAGTTTTGACTGCTTTCCAAGCTGCAGTAAAATTGAAGATCGCTGATTTTAAGTTACAGTTTCTGAGTATATTACCCTCTGGTTTATCAGATTTGATCTCAAATACAGGTGATCCTCAGGTTACAATGGCAATTGGGACTGGAATTTCTGTCAATAAGCAATGCGATAGTAAAGTGGGACGTCATGTGACTGCATTGGTTAGCGATGGCAATTTTGCAGTCCTGGTTGCTGTTGTAGCCTCAGGACCATGCGGATGTTAAGCAGGAAGAGGGGGGAGTCCCAGACAAGCAGGCCGGCAGGCGAGTGGATGCCATGGGGGGGGCAGGGGGGGTGCCATGGGCAAGTAGTCTAGAGCGTGGGTGGGTGTGCGGGTGCTGCAGGGGGTACTGCAGGCAGGCCTCCAGAGTGCAGGGGCAAGGAATGCCATGGGCAGGCACTACAGAACACAGGTAGGTGCCACAGGGGGATGGGGGTGTTGTGAGCAGATGCTATGGCATGCGGGCAGGCGAAAAAGTGGCAGGAGTGGGAGTGATTTCCAACTTCCTGCTGGCTTCCCCATTGACTTTGCTTGTGGGAAGCCAGCACGGAGTGTCAGAAATCACGATTGCGTGAGCACGGCTCACTGCGACATTGTAATCGCAAACCAGACACTGACCATGGGGATGCTGTGTCTTCAAAGACCGGTCATAAATCCCCCTCGTTCAGCACTGTTGTAACTTTGAATGGTCACTTAACAAGTGGTTGTAACTCAAGGACTTATCTGTACAGCTATCATCTACCTCAAAAATGTATTCCTATTAGGTCTTTTAGTTGCCAGAATGATTCCCTGGTCCATGGGCTAAATGACTAATGTTTTGTCTTTGGTCAAAAATAAGCACCAAATGTTTCCATCTTTCCTTAACATATCTTGAGATGGATAAATAAAAGTGTTCACAAGAATCAGAAGAGTCTCATATTTTCTTCTGATATCTGCAGCTCTTCCATTTTATATCTGCTGACTTCAGACACAAGGCGATTGAAGAAACAGTCATTAAAAGCAGTAATATAAACGATGCCATCTTTGATTTATAATATATGAATGGGGGTTGGTACATAAAGCAGCTCTCTTGGATGAAGTGACTTGCTACAATGACTGGTGTTAATCGATGCAATCTGTCAGCATTTGCACAAACTAATACTGAGATTGTCTCCTCACTGATAATTTGTCTTGGAGTTTGTTTTATATTTGAAACCTGAGTGTTCTTCAGGAGCAAATGCCAGAACGAGCCAGTCTCATTGTCACTATACGTTTGTGATAATGTGAGGTCTTCATATTATCTATGCCATTATTTCACTTTTTTCCCCAATGTTCTCTCTCCTCCACTGCAATATTCAGAGCTTTGCCCAAAGTCCACTTGATTGTTCCATCCCTTTTACAAAATCGCCAAAGCGATCCCCACTGGATTTCAGACTTAATTTCATGTGGTGTTAGTTGCAGATCCTCATTCCACTCTATATACATGAACACGAACATTGCTGAACGTGCCACTTCAACACGGTTTCATCAAATGGTAATTCCTGTGCCATTTTCATATGTTTTCTTGTCCCAGTTGCAACTTCCTTACTTCAGTGTTCACAATACGCACTGATAGAAGCTACTTAATGTTGTATTTTGCTTCATGAATATCTGACACTCTTTGTTGCATCACACCATGCTTTTCACAAATATATCCAATGGGCACTCCTGATTTTAATTTTACAGTTGACTCTCCTTCTTTACCTTCAAGTTTACTCCTTTTTGCCCCTTTGTGAAACCATGGTTATGTATTTGCAAAATCCCCCCCCCCCGCAGAAAAGTATCACAAACAGCAACACTCATTAAAAGGTTGGGATAGCTGCTAACAGTATCAGATGCAATATTGCTACACAGAAGAAATATGATACTTATGTATGAGCAGAAGTAGCAAACATTGTCTGGACTGCTCCCCCAAACAACAAACTTTATCCATTGTTTGAAGCGAAGTTGATTATTGTCTCAAAACTTGGGGAGGGGGGAATCAGATTCAGCAGACTTCGTCCATGACATCTGAAGTCTGCTAAATTGAAGCTCATTGAACTGAGGGTTTACTGTATATTGTTGCTGTGGTTATCATTTGCCTTGAATAAAATATACTAATTCAATCTGCACATTCAAATAGTCTTTCCTAAAAGCGCTTGAGATTTCTGCCTAGTAAAATAAGTCAGAATGCAATATGTCATCCCTGAAGAATATCTTGTTTAAAAAAACCAGCCTTATCTATCCGATTATGCACACTAATATTATACAGAATTATTAGTGCATGTAGATCCCTTTTGAGTGAATTTCAAAAATACACTGAACACTTGAGAAGGATTTAAGTCTCTCAAAAGAACTTCTTAAGGATATGCAAATATACCCAGCTGAATCAAGTTAAACAGATGCAACTCGCACAAACAATGTGAGCTCTCCTTTCCCTGGCTGTTGCTCTCTGTCAAAGAACAAGATGAAGGTCAAAGGTTCTGACGCTCTATAAAAACAAAAGGGTGATCATGGAATTTAGTGCACTCATATTAACTATAATAGCGCTCATTGATCTGAAAAGTGGACCCTGCACCTGCGGGAAAACGCTAGGATGAAGAAGAAGAAATTAACTATAATAAACTGCCTTGGTCTTGTCTTATGAGAATAGCTCGGTATGACGGCTCTTAAGGCAACATACATGATAGGATATGTCCTGAAAACCAGTGAGTGAATACTGTTTTTTTAAATTAATTTGCATATATTTTGGATGTAAATCTGAAGCTGCATTCCATTAACAAGTAATATTTACCTTGTATTACACTTTGCTAGAATCATAGCCTAATTAATTACAAGTTGAAGAACCGCTACCTACTATCAAAATGTAACCAGATCTAGATCTGATCAGGGTCAGGATGGGAAAATTTCGTGGAAGACGAAGGCAGGGCATCCATTAAATAAAGCATAAGCATATGTTTTGTTTTGTAACTCTGATATTTCATGAGAAGTTGTTTTCTTTAAGGAATCTCCTTCTGGACGGCGGAAAGCTCTTGCTACCAGCAATATCAACATGAAGCAATATGCGAGCCCCATGCCGACTCAGACGGATGTCAAGTTAAAATTCAAGCCTTTGTCTAAGAAAGTCCTCTCAGCCACCCTGCAGTTCTCTTTATCGTGTATTTTCCTGAGAGAAGGAAAAGCCACGTAAGTTTTGCAGGAAAGTTGCTCTGTTGCTCTTCTATATGCTCCTGAGCTTGCTGTTGTGGGAGTGGGCAACCTGAGGCTACCCCTCAGCTCTCTTGAACCACACTACTGAATTTCCCTTGCATAATTGCTAAAAGTCAACAGTATGGTTTCAAACAATTCAGAGTAGGAAACACATGGAAACCACGGTGCAAGAACATGAATAAACCTAATCGACATTAAAAAAAAGACTCCCACAAGGCACTCCTCCCTCCCCAAGTAGATAATCCCAGACCAGCCTATCTGCCTGCCTACCTGTATGACCTAGTTGAGTTTGCTTTGCATTATCACCCCTGCTGCTACTCTGAGTCCCCCCATAAAAGCACTGAATGTGGCCCACAACTGTCAAAATGTTGCTCAATCCCACAGATCCTGTACAGTGGTTGTTGATTGTCATTCTAGTTTTTTGTGGGGTGGTTGGTGGAGGGCATGAGCTGTGGGAAGGAAGTTCTGGCGCAGTATCGCCTCAGGCATGACCTTAGATGAACAATTCTTTCGTAAGAGTCATAATATGAGAAAACAATATGAACCTAGAGCATTTGTAAAAATTAAGGGGATAATGCTGATAGCATATAAAGTAAGAGGAAGCCCTATATCATTGCTAATTCTTTTTCATTATAATGTTTCATAACTTGCTTCGCCAGCACAATACCTTTTTGAGGTTCCTTTCATTAGTAAAAATTACACCTTTTCTTTTCCCATAAGGCTTCATATTCTTCCCTTCAAGATGCAGCTGTATGTCAAGGTTAGAATTAGTTTGCTTTCTGGGAAACACTGAATCAAGATTCAGCAGACGGGAAAACTGTCAAATGGGAAAATAGCCATTAGTTCAAATTTGTCAAGATGCCCTAAATGAAGGGCAACTTGAACCAACAAATTAATTTGATGTTGGTAAGATAATGATATTATTATTAGTAATAGTAGTAATAGTAGTAGTAGTTGTTGTTGCAGTATTTGCACACAGTCTGCCAGATGGGTCTGACTGGATTTGGTACTTCAATTATTGAATCCTTTCCAAGGATCTGGGATAGCTAAAGATATCATCGTAAATTATGTGCTGTTCCAAGTAATGCAATTATTTGTAATTGGTGAGTTCAAATTTCACTTGTGTTGAACTGGTTTTCCAGATATTTTGGAATGGCACCACGCACACCAACTGCTATTAGCACCACTATTATTTTCTTTTCCCACATTCGTTCAATCTCTATTGAGTCTTTATATTTCCCTACTTTTTCTGGTTGTTTCTCATTGACCCTTCCATCTCCAGCTACTGCAATGTCAATTATCCATACTTGTTTCTTTGTAACTACAAAGAAGTAACTACTTCTGGCTTATTATGGGCTAAATGTTTTATTATTATTATGGTTGGTCACACGGTCAGCTATTATTGTTGTTGTTATTGTTATTGTTATTAGAGATGAAGATATGCAGAGCCTGGCAAGTCTAATGAGTATGAAGCAGGCAGATATTGGAAATTTAGATGACTTTGAGGAAGATAATGAAGATGATGAAGAAAACAGAGTAAACCAGGAAGAAAAGGCTGCAAAAATTACAGGTTTGTTTTTTCCCAAACGTGTTATAATTAAAATGTCTTTGCTTGTAAACTTAATTTGAAGGTTGTTATTCTTTTCTACCATTTTTCTTGTGAAAGTAATGTAGGATTGTATAATTTGCATTAGGAACAAACAATTTAATTTAAATCGTGGATTGGTATCCATGGGTGAAGTAAGGGAGGATTCATGATCCTTTTGGTTAACTTCAAAAGACCCACAAACACTACATTCAGATGGTCTTGACTTCTGCCACTGTTTCTCTCCCTCTCCCTCTCCCTCTCGCTCCGTGGATGAAAGCAAAGTTACCCATAGTTTGAAGGCAAAAGGTTTTTGTATATTTACTATTCAGTACTTCCAGGAGTACTGAACTATGGAGTAGTATGGGAGAGCTTACCAGTTTTCAGGCCATTGGCCTTCACGATCCCCCTAGCTTCTACAGTTTCCTAATGCAGGAAGAACTAAGCTATCTGGGCAGTACATCTAAATTTAACCTGGTATTTAAAGTTCTCGAGCTGGATTGAAGAGCTATATTAGCTTTCCATATCTAGAGAGTATAACTGGATAACTTGGTTCTGCCTAAGGAAGTGACTTTTTTTTCCTCTAGAAGCAAACAGGTAGAAAATCCATCCTATCCAGCACAGTGTTAATGCTAAGTAATAAAAAGCGCAAGGCAGTTGGCATCTTTACATGAGAACAGATTTGTGGTGTTGTGTATGTGTATCTGTGTGTGTGTGTGTGTGAGAGAGAGAGAGAGAGAACGAGAGAGAGACCTGTCTACAGAAGGCACAGCAATATTTTCCAGACCCAGGGTATATATTAATATATAGCTCAATACAAAAAAGGATACTCATGGAGGAGGGGAAAAGAAATAAAATTTAAACTTGATGAAGCAGACACAATCCACGTCTCTTCCTGGAAATTTCCCAACAGCCTGCATCCTTCAAATGCAGTTCCTGGATAAAACATACTCTGGATTGGATCTGGACCACATATTGGGTAGTACCTTTTTTAATGAGAAGTAGAGTATCCTCTAATTACTACTAAGTTCTACTATAATTGAATCTGTAACCAGTAAAAGTATTTGTAATTGGAGTAACATCAATGTTCTACTTCTTTTGTTGTTCCACCTATCAAATATTAGATTGTAATATCCTTGGAACAAGGATCTCTGCTTCTAAAACATTATAAACTCCAGTCTCAGGAATATATGCATTTCTACTGGTAGTAGGAAAGACTAAAGGAGAAGAGATACAGTAGATATTGAAAGATTTGACTATATCACTAGATTACTTCTGCCTGTCGTTAGAGTTTTAGCTAAATCAAGTTGAATGGAAAAGATGCCTATATCCCCAATAGCAACTATTTCACTAATATGATACATCATTTTTCATAAGCATGTTTCTATAGTTTTGTCACAAACTCCCTGCTAAATGAGATGGTCTTGATTAAATTCCTTGTTTGTTCCACAAAGGATTATGCAATTCTGTTATGTCTCCTTGAGTTTATGTTCCAAGCATTGCTCCATCTTGCAGTTTTCCATGCATGTCATCCTTCATTCTTCACCATAGTCTTTGTCAATCTCAGTCTCTGTTAATCACTGTCTTCCAAATGACTACCAAATACCCAACTTGTATCTAAAGAAAACAAATTATGAACATTAAACAAATGCATACAGATTTCTTACCTTTCATAATTGTCCACTCTCTTGGTGGTAATAGGATATTCATGATAATGCAGCTTGGAGATTCAGCAGTTGAAGTCAGTATATGGCATAGTCACACTACACTCTGGAAGAAGGTGGCAGCCACCTCCACATATCTTTTGTGAAAACCTGTAGCATTTAAACCAAATCACTTGTTCCACTTCCTGTTTTCTCCAGTTGCGTCCTTGACTGCCTGCACATTTGAACAACTTAGCGTATAGATCAGATAGAGAATATCAAAATTGATAACTACACACCATCAAAATGTCCAGTTTAGGTTGTAGGTCTAACCCCATTGGATCTGTTGGCTGTAAGTTGTCCTAAAAGGGCTAGATGTGCAGGATATTCCTCAACTAAAACGCCTACAGTTCTGCAGGAGATTTCCCATTAAAACCAAGATTTCTTACTTAGGAACCAGCCCTGACCATCTTTTTCCCCTACCAGTTCTGCCTGGCAGGCCAATCTGGCTAAGTTTTATTTGGCAACATTAATAGTGTTTCTATGCTGCCTTAATTAAAATACTACATTTCAGTATGTTGATTATTATCAGTTGATTCTTGTTTTAGTGCAGAATATATCCAGGATAATTTCTGTTAATTAAAATGTATTGCATGTTCACTGATGTCCCACATTTCAGAATATGGAAAAGTCTTCATGCAAGTACAGAGATACATTAAGTGCAATTATGATCGTTCAGTCTGGAAAGTATTCCCGAATTAACATTTGTCTTTCTTTTCCTTTTCTCTTTTTCCTAATAACAGCATGTATTGTATTTCTTTTCCATTAAATGATCTTACCTCACAATTGTCTTGACTGGCTTCTGTTTACAGAAATTGTAAACCAGTTGAATGCTCTGAGCAGCTTAGATGAAGATCAAGATGACTGCATAAAGCATACAAATATGCTATCCACTAAATCAGCCAGTTCTTCTGAAGGTCTATGAGCTTTCCTCCTTTTCTGTTTCTGGCATGTCTATATTTTACTGTGACCTCCTTAGTATCTGTTCACGTTCAAGTGTTGGTTGTAGCTTTGTGCTTGGTGTCCATTACAGTCTGTTGTAGTTCAGCCAAGAGAAGACAACAAGATACGGTGCTTTCGTCAGCCAGGGTGAGGCCCTCAGATGTTGTTGGATTCCAGTTCCCATCATCCCCACCAGCATGGTCATTGATCAGAAAAGTTTGCAATTGTAGTCAGACCCTCCATTTGCTAAACTTAGCATAGAAGTACCATTATTCATGCTTGGAAGTATTTTAAATACTGCATTCTTTCCCTGAGATAATACGTATGCTGCATCTGGGCTTTTCAATTTAGTAATGGAAAAATTACTACCTATATATGTTGATTTTCTTTGTTAGCATTTTTATTTTCTAAAAACCATTGTCAGAACCTTACAGTTAAATAATCATATAATAAACTTGTACTTGCTTCTGTTCATGTCACTGAGCTAGAAACATTGGTATACTATAAATATAACAGTTTAATTTTGCAGTAGAAAATGTGTCCTGGTTCACTGTTAAAAGGGATATGTAGTACTTAAGATAAGTACTTGGAAAGTGTTTGTTTAAACATTCTATGTCTAATCTTAAATGAAAGTATAAAAATATATTGAAAAGTATCTTGCTTGGTTTCTTAGAGCTTATCAACAAGCTTAGTTTCCTGGATGAAGAGGAGCAAGATTTGGCAAATTCAAGATCAAATCCATTTGTAGATTCTGATCGATCAGAGCTGAACCCTTTTGGAGACCCTGATATGGAAGGTATTTAATTTTGCCACATATGATCTTTGGATTATGCTATAGTTTTTGGCAAGATCACAAACTGCGTGTACTTCCTATTTCTTATTTTCTGAAAGTTTCTTTGGTGTTACTTATGTGCTGATAATTTGCAATCTACGTATTCAATCAGAGCTTGCTTAAGCTAATAGCCTAATAATGGGGTTCTTCAATCTGAAGCAGTCTTTTAGATCAGTACTAGTCAGTGTTTGATCAAATCATTCATCTCCTTCTAGAAGTGCCTGGACAACTTAAATAAAAGTTTACATATTTTAAGTCCTAGTACTAATAATCAGTACTTGAAAGTTACTTGATGTTTGATTTAACTCAATTTTAAGTGTGTACTAAAGTGTGTACTAAAAGTTACATTGCCCGCTTTAGTAATCTTAACAAGAGGCTCATAAATATATGAGCAATTACTGTATGTACTTTATATGTACAAATATAAATTCACATCTAAATAACTAGATTAGGAACCTGCACCAGAAGAACTGCCCCCCACAAAAAGATGGGGCAAACTGTTAATATTGTTCTTCTTTTGTTTGTTTATTGTTTTTAAACAGTAGTTTATGCAAACTTCTTATTGTTTAGCAAAATCATCCCTTGATAAAGTCATGAATGCTGTCTAATTGCTGATGCTTCACCATTTGACATCCCACTCCAAACTCCCAGGTGGTTTTGCCCACAGCATTACAGGCAGGACTGAAACCCATGGGATACCCTAGATCAGTAGTTTATGTATCAAGTGGTAGTTCCCCAGTAGGAGCTTCTGGATATGGCCTAACAGGAAGGATGGAAACCACAGTAAAATAAGTAAGTTCCAATCCATCAGGCACTTTAGAACAGTGTTTTTCAGCCTTGGCAGATTGAAGATGTATGGACTTCAACTCCTAGAATTCCCCATCCAGCCTGGCTGGCTGGGGAATTCTGGGAGTCGAAGTCCACACATCTTCAAGCTGCCAAGGTTGAGAAACACTGCTGTAGAAGGATACCATGGTCAATAGTATCAAAAGCTACTGAGTAGTCCAGAAGAATTAGTAGAGTGCACTCCGTGCATTTCTGGCATAGATCATCCATCAAGATAAATGAAATAGTTTCAGTATCATTCCAGCTAAAAGCCCAATTGAATTGGATCCAGCAAACCATGCTCATTCAGATATCTCTTCAGTTGTGAGGCCACTGTATTCTCATTCACTTTGCACACAAATAGAACATTTGAGATGTCCTATAATTATATAGTTCACCCATCTCAAAATATAATTTCTTTGGCAAAGTACTTATTATTGCTTCCTTTAGACAGGGGGAACACATTCTGCCTTAATAGTGGGGCCAGTCCCATTTTTGCCAGTTTAACCAGCTGAAAAAGAAAATGATTAGTAAGTAGTGGCCCTCATCCCTCACATCTGGTTTACAGCCTTGAAATCTATAGGCTGAAAAGAATCCGAAATAAGAGGACAAGTAGTTGCTGAGCTTTCATCCCTGTGTCTTGTCTGTAGCTTAACACGAAGTTGAAATGGATCCAAATGACTTTATCTGCACAGAATTATGTAAATTGTTCACACTGTGCTGTCTACTGTTCCAGCTGTTCCAACATTTTGGTGGCAGAATTTAGTATAGAAAAACTATGCTGGCCTGTTATGTGCAGATACAGTGGAGAGACAGAAGTAAGCATTCTTTGCTACCTTTACAGAGTAGAAGTTCAAATGGACCTTCAGAGGGACTCTATATTTTGATCCATCCTGAGAGTTTATCCTCTTGTGTTCCAGCTGTTGCCCCATCTGTTTCAATATTCTCAGCTCCCTAGTAAACCTTGGAAATGATTTGGCTTTGCATGAGAGCAAAGGGCACTTAGGGACAATAATGGCAACTGCTTCGGCCATCTCTGATTCTATAGTCCAGCCAGGGGATCAACAGAATCACATCTTCATCCTACTTCACATGAAGTAGGAAATCCCCAGGTGCATTTAAGAAACCACCAAGATTAATCAGGTGCCTGGGTTGGACCATTTTAACCACTCTTGCACCCCTGCAGAGATGTATGCCAGCTATCAGTCAAAAACTGAACAGGGAGGTACTGTTTATGACTGTGTAGTCCTAAGGGGTTCTCCTTCAGATCATCAAGACCTGATAGATCACTGGATGCAGAACCTGCACAGATCATTGGTCTGAACCTGTTCTTTTTGAAGCAGGGAACAGTGCAACTTGTCCTCAGCTACCTTAGTGGGCAAGGTTAGATATAATGGCCTGAAGCTACAAGCAAGGGGATTTAAGGTTTATAGTAGAATATATATTTTGAGAACAGTTTGACAATACCAGCCAGCCAGCCAGAGAGATGTGAGCTCTTCCTCACTGGAGATCTTCAAGACAAGAATTGGACTAGCCATTCTTTAGATATATTTTAGCTCAGCAGCTCTCAGTGGGAACCCTGGCTTTCAGGCTGATACTAATTCTGCTTCTGTTACTTAGCCCTTTAATGGCTAGGCTGGGAAATTTAAACCATGTGGACTACTCTCTGCACCGTTGCCCCCATACTACTGGAGAATCTCCCTGACATTATATTAGAAAGACAAATGTAAAGTAAATGTATCTATAAAGAAGTGGAGGTGAGGTTTGTGTAAAACAGCAAGGATGGATGAACATTGTCTTGCTGTTGCAAGATGAAGCATGGAACTGAGGCATTTTTTTGCTTCTTTCTGAAGTGGTAATATGCACCAAGGCATAAAACATGGTCATGACACCACCATATTGTATTCTGCAGTGTTCTGATTGTTGAGTGTAATGTCTAACTACTAAGCCCCTAGATGACTTTAAATCTCAGGCTTTCCAATAGGAAACCTCTCTCCAGTATCAGATACATAAGGCTGATATTGGAGAAAAAAAACACACATACACACGCAAAGTCCCTAGTACAAATCATATTCTACCATAGAATGTCCTCATCTGTGCTTAATGACTTTTTCTGGACATTGGATGTTTCTCACAGTAGATACAGTTACTGACATTTGCATGAGTATGATGGCTGGAGAGAATCGACTGAAGTGCTGTGTGTAATTAAATCTACTGGCTCATAAACTGAGAGGCCGACGGGTTAGGAAAGGCTCTTCTAGCTAATTCTCCTAAGCTAACTTTGTTACTGTGTAGTACTTAAGGGAGGCTTAACTAGTCTAAACAGCAACATGTTTTCCCTTTTAGCTTTGCCTTGGATTAGTAATGCGTCCCAGAGTTCTACTATACCTACATTTGACAGAAGGATTTAGATTAATTAGTTAATGTTTGTAAAGAATTTTGAAGATTAAAAGAACAATATAAGTGCTAAATGTTACAAGAGATTGATTGTTTAAATATACAAAGAGCTTTCTTTGTGAACATACTTCTCTTTCTTCCTTCCCGTTTCTTTTTTTTGGGGGGGGGGGGGTTTAAAAAAATCTGCATCAGTTTTATGTATTTAGTTCATGTCTTTTTTTTTTTATAATAACTTTATTACATTTTTAAAAAGAGTATTCAGTTCATGTCTTTGATGATGTGTTTAATCTGGAGGTTTTTCTTTTCTTTCAAATGCTTTCTGAAATACTATTACATCTCCAGCACTTAGATTTATCTAATTAATCAATTAATTATCTCATTATTATATAAACAATGCTCATGTTCTTTCTTTAAGCCATACTTGTTATAAATATTATAAATTGAGTGACAAGATCTTCCACATATTCTTTATTAATGGAGCCTGATATTCTGGAATATGCCTCTACAACTGGGTCTATTTTGAACTGATATTCTAGAATCTATCTCTATTACTGAATCTACTTGAGTTTCATATGCCTGGCAGCTCAGGTATAGGATCTACTGTAGCTTTACAGCCATAGAGGCAGATTCTGTATATAGATGAAGTGAATGGATTGCATGTGAGTTGAATTTGCTTGATCCTAAGGACATTTTTGAAGTAGATTATGTGCACATTTCTTTAGTCAATTGTTTTGAAGCGTATACCAGATTTGAATTATTTCTGAGTCACCTGGCCAGAGCAGTGCATTGCGTTCTTTCTATTTGGGATAGCAAAAGATAAGGGAGGTTATGAAGCATGTACATAACAAAATTCCAATATATGACTGGTGGCCTGCTTTTGGTTTAATGGATCGCAGTTGCCCAGGACTTGTACTGTGAGTTACTTCACTTTCAACAGTTCGTCAAAAAGTGAAGATCAGTTGTCTGTAACAAACGTGATGTTTCCTTTTTGTATATGATTGATTCTTTGCTCTGGCCATTACTGAATAACAGGGTTAAGCTTGGACATTTTTGTACAGTACTTGAAACAAAAGTCAAATGAAACCCTTCTCCCTTATTTATTTATTGTTTAAAATGCAATAACAAATGTGCACAAAAGATGGAAGTAGGAGCAGGGCAATCTGCCTTTTGGAGGGTTGTTTCTTGTTAGGGCCTGGAACTGTTCCAGGTTATGTCTGAACATTTATCATTACTATTACGGATTACATGGATGATCCTGTGGAACTGTTCTCCCAATCCTGGTAAGATTTCTGAATGCTTTTGTTTTTTGAACTTGCCCTAGTCATGACTAGGTGTCTGGGTAATTTTTTCCTTTTAAGTTATATGATCTCTAACATGCTTTAAATATACTCTTCTTATTTTACTAATATTAATTTGGGATGGCAACTGTTTTGTATTCTGCCAGAGTTATATCAGGAGAAATAAACTATTCTGAAGGAATTCAGAGCAGGAGTTCCTTCTCCATTAAGACACCACCTCTTGATTGCTCTCTGCAGAACCAGATATTAAGGTGATTCCATCATCTAAACAAGAGCAGTACTATGATGACGGCGATGAATACAACCCCTTTCAAGAAAAGAGTGTGGAGTATATGAACCCTTTTGATGAGCCAGACCCTGAACCTGAGGTCCTGCTACCTGTCAGAGACTCTCCTCCTCAGCCTAACAGAAGGAAAAATGTCCGGCCCGTGGATATGAGCAAATACCTTTACGCTGATGCATCAAGAACAGATGAAGAGGAGTTAGATGAGTAAGTAGATCATTTTTCTCCTCTGCATTAGTTGGGATTTCAGCACAAGACCTCCAGGCATAAAATATTAAAACCTGATTATTCTTGTATGAAGTACAAGAATAAACTGCTCCATTAACAGAATTTGAATACATTAAACATTGGGGCATGTGTGTTATTGACTTCTTTTCTGTGAGGATCTAAATCATCAAAGAAGAATTTCTGAAGGGAGGTGTTGATACAGATGTTCGGGATGAAAAGCATGCGTGCTCAGATTCAGGCGTGGCACTGGCTGCTGCAGCAGTTCAGTTGGCTAGTGGCCAGCTTTGAACTATCCTGATACGTAAGGAGCTATACAATACGGTGACATTTGAGGATAATGAATGACCTAATCTTTAGAACTTCAGTACTGTCCTTCTATACTCAATGATCATTTGATTTATTATGCAAAATACTTTTCTGAGTCAGTTTTAATAATAGTACTGATTGCCCTAATGTTTGAAAAAGATGAAACTAATTGTGTTTTCTCTGCTGTAAATACAAGTGATAGTCCCAGGTCTCTCCTCCCCCCTCCTTTTTTTTCTTGTCCTGGAAAGTTCAGTGGCCATAGATTTTTCTTAGTTGTTCACTTTTTGTTGGTTTCCATTTTTTGTTATTTTGTTGCTTTGGAAAATAATTGTAACTTGGCCAAGTCTATTCACTGAGAGTTGGTTTTGTGTACAAATTATATGAGAGGAAGATGTCCTTAAATCTAAGTCAAATCCTGATGACTGCATGGACATAGCTATGCAATTTCCTTAGCTGCAGTACCAAAGTGGTTTGCTGTTGCCTTCTTCTGGGAAGTTTTTTAAATCCTCAGTCTAATATTAGTATTAACCAGGCCTGACTTAGCTTAGCTTCCAAAGCCAGACAAGGCCTGCTGAGACATACAATAATTTCTCGAATCAGACTAGGTATGTATTATCAGATCATGATCCCTAGATCCTTATCATCTTAGCCATCAGGTGTGCAGTTCCTGGCAAATTAGAAAAGCAAATAGTGGAAGAATGATAGTAAACACAGCGAAGAGAAAAAACAAGAGAGAGAGTAAAATAAAAAGTTAGCATAAAGGTACAAGACTTTTTTTTCCCTCATCTACAAACAAATCTGTACCACTGTACCACTGAAACAAATGTGTACCACTGAACCACTGTACCACTGAATTCACAGCAGGCCATTTAAGGCATAAGGGTTTTTCTATCCATGTGCCAGTACATTTAATTGTGATTATAGCTTCCTTCCCTCTTTGTAGCACAATAGACTGTTAACTTTCAAGACAGTCTAAATGTGAAGAACAAACACACATCATCTTTTCAGTGGCAATTGCTGCACCATTCCTCCTGGATTCTAGGCACATATTTACACACCCTTTAAGGATCATATGAAAAAGCTTATTTCCTCTTTCACTGAACTTCAGTTTATTTATCAAGCAATCCTTTGCTTCCACTCTGCTATCGGGCTATTTATGTCATTGTACCATCAGCACAATGTCTCATAATCAGACTGTCATCAGCAGTATCCCTTGGTGTACTACAAAGAATGTAAGATTGGGAAACAGAAACCCTGAATTCAAGCTACGGATGAGAATCAGTCCCCCATGTCACTATTTTTGTGTTCAGTCATAATCTTTTCCAAATCATTTTGTGATTTTTAAAAGAAATTTCAAGAACTTACACATTTTCTGTAGTACTCTGTTCTCCCTAATATAGGCAACTGGTATGCAACTTTACAAATATACAAAATTTGTCCTTTTTTTTTTTTTTAATAAACGCAATGCTTTTGTACAAAGAACGACACTTTGCAGTGTGCAGTTAGAAGGCTAACTGCATCTCAATCTTGGAAGTATGAATTAGGTCAGTGTGCTTAAAAATATGGACCAAATGAAATTCATCAGTATCCTTAGTGATAGGGGAAAAGCTCCCTTAATTTCTGCATACTTGACCAGCAATGGTAAGGAAAGAGAGGGACCAGACAGGACTATCTGATGAACTACAGCAGCAGGCAGGCATTTCTAAATAAATTAATAAAGGCAGCCTCCACCTGCCCACCTAAAATCCCATCCAGGTATACTTGGACCACACTGGTTGCACAAGAAGCCCTAATTTAATGGAATGGCTCAGATTTCACAGGGAGGAGATCACAGGGTCACTGTCTGAATGTGACTTTGTCTTGGAGAAATCTGGAAAAGCTCTTTGCACACAAGCACATTAAATACGGTATTTTTCTTCAGCCAATTGGATAGAATATTATCTGGACTCCGAGACCTTCTGCAGCTTCTCGTCCTTGAACTTCTAACAATACCCCCCACCATGACTCAGCTGCTCTTTCCTACCAATGCAAAGAGTCATCTTTCTTTCCTAACTGCGCTCCTAGAATGTGAGTGGACAAAAGAGGAGGATCAGAGACCCCAAGGTCTGATAGAAACAGTGTTGCTAGTCCTTTTCTCAGTGATTCTGTCCTACAGTGGAAGAAAGCAATCCCCAGCTACGGTTTCTTTACAACAAAAACCTACTAGCGCTGGGCAGATTCTGAAGGAAAAGCTATACTTATGGATTGCCCACCACTCATTTCAGTTAGCCTCCTTTATACTTTTACAACTTTCAAAGTTTTAGGTAAGTCTTCCCTGTAGATCCCCTTTCATGCTGGGTATCCATTATATGTTGCATAATGATCTTTCATGGAGCTTATGAAGTTGTAGGAGCCTTTGGAAAGAAATACAATAGCAATTCCATGGAAAAGTGCTGGAAATACTGCAGTCAGTTCTGCTGGTTATGTTACAGATATCGCTTGGGATACTCACATGAGGGAAGTCCAGTCCTCTATATGTAATGGGATACTCTTATCAGAGACACAGAGGCTGGATTCACCCACCACACTAAGCCATAGTTTGATTACAAGTCATGGTTGGATTTGCACAACACACTGAGCAATAAACTATAGTTTAGAAACCATAGCATTTGCATTCACCCAACACAATAAGTCAGAATTAAAGCACAGTGTGCCTTAGGGCAGTGTAGTACCCTGTCAGAGCAAAAAGTAACGTTTAGTGTTTGGAGTGCATTTTCCTGAGTCTAAATACACAATGAATCTTATTGTGGAAGTGAGGAGGAGGAGGACTGCCATCCAAGTGTTCCTCCAACAGTTCCAACCACAGCCCCACCCCCAGCATTGAGGAAATGGTTCTAGAATGACTGAGACAATACTTATTCTTCCTTTGCATAAACTTGCAGTAGAAGTCTGTGTACAGACTTCTGTTCTGCTGCAGGTATCCAGACTTTGATTCTGTAGAGTTGATAGGCTCGGGATCATGAGTGTCCATGAGAAGGCAGGCAAATGATGAAATGTGCATCATAATATCATCACAGAAATGCTGTGATTTCTGTACTTGCATCAGGCATTGGGGCACAAATACATAATCAAAGCATTTGTGTAATGTTGTCATCACATGTGTGTTATCATTTGGCATCATTGTGTTTTTTGCTGCAGACACTGGTCACCAGGAGTAAAGGTGTAGAAAATGCGTCCAATTTGAAACAATTCGAGTTTGACATACCATGAGCTCAGAACACTTCCTGTGAGGTTGGAAACAGCTTGTTTCAAACTGGAATGAGATGTTTCAGCTTCAGTATATTTTGTACTCTTTTCAGGAGTATTAAGCCAAGAGATGAATAGAAGAGTGCTTAAGGAGAACAGCCCTGCTAAATAAAGCTAACTGAGTGCATTTGGAAAGGCACACAGAGAGTTGGGAAGGTGGCAGTCCACCTGCAGTACTGCTTCTTAGTAGGTATTTAAGTTACACTGCTTATGTATTCTGGAGATTATAAACTGCAGTTGAGAAAAGTAGCCACTGAGAGACCAGTCTTCCATGAATTTGTCATCCTTGTTTACAGCTGTTTAAAGTATTGGCTATCTCCACATCTGATGAAGGTGAATTCCTCAGTTGAACTACGTGGTGCATGTTCAGATATATGTTTAATCCATCTCCTGCATGTTGCTGTTGGGTATTTGTGCCTGCGGTGTGGTGCCTGCATAAGCCATTAGCTCTTCTACAGGCTGTTGGAGATCAAGCTACTTGTTCACCACTCCTTTTCTCCTTAGTTCCTATCATACATGAGGCCAAAGCAAAGTAGCCTGTTCTATCATCTGTCTAGTCCATGTCTAGTTCTTCTCCTTATCCATGTTATTGCCTACTCACCTTTCAGAAACCCATTGAGATTTAGAGGAATATGATACAGATTTTAAAAATTTCAGGTCACCTTTCTGAAGAAAGAGAAGCAGAACTTATTGGGTGCAGTTCACTGTGTGTGATAAGCATTTATTTCAAATCTGCTCTCATTTTGTCTACACTCTAAACCAAACAACTCTAATCTTTTCAATCTCTTTTTACAGAAGTCTCTCCATCTCTCTTATCATTTTCATCATACGTCTCTGGATCATCCTATTTTTTCTCCTGTATGTATTTTTTAAGATGTGGTGACCAGCCTTGCCTGCAGTGTTCGAGAAGAGGGAACCCTCTGTGATGGCACTGGGACCCTTTCAGTATTGTTTTCCATCTCAGTCACTATGCATGTATTCCTTTTGCTTGTGTACTTATCCATGATTATCTGTGGAACTGAGAAGTATTAAAGAAAGTGGCTTGAATTCTGGAGGAGACTTTTGTAATTACAAGCAAAATATATTCACTTCAAAGCTGCTATCATGCTATGTAACCCATTATATCTAGGAAAAATAATACAGTGAAACCTTCATTTAACAGACCAGTTGGGAGAAGGGAATGTTCATTATTCCCAATAGTTCTGTAAATTGGAGTGTTTGTCATTTACAGTGATATCATTATGCAGCTGACATAAATTACATCATTTGCACATTGTTACACCACATGTGTCATTTGTATTATGCAGTTGATATAACTTGCACAACTGATGGAATCATTTCATCCAGGTCTGCTAAATCAAGGTTTCCCTGTATAATATAGTTGTTCATTTGTATGTTTAAATCTAGAACTATATATGGAATTCCTAGAACCAAATGCTTTTGGCTTTAGTGGGACAAGCCTCCAAGGGTTCTCTTTCTTGGCATCATGTTCCAAGTTCTCAATTTCTCTATTGCTCAGTCAGTGCCTATGTCAAGTTTTAATTGAAACTTAGCTGAGCTTGCATTTCTACACAGATTGTTTTAAATGAGCAATCTGTTGCTAATAGGATCAGTTTCCCCTAAAACTAAATAATTGTATATTATAACTATTTTCTCAGGGACCACTTAAACTTTCATTATTGCTAAAACGTTCCTTGGTCTTACAGTATAAATGGGGAGGTAGTATTGATATTGTAAAAACATTTTAAATTAATATTTCTGCTTTCTCTGTAGTAAATGTTTTCACTTAAAATTCTATAATTTTGCCTTCTGTATTGGCTCCTGTGTGACCTGAGATTTTGCCATTAAGTTACATTAGTTGTGTCTTCTGAACCAAATCTTTTAAACTAGCTTTTGCATGGAAAAATAGTCACATTAAATTAGGAAATGTAAAAACAGCCACTATCTAGGAAGGATGCTGTTGCCTCTAGGTGAATTGACTGAGCTTTCACCCTCTTTAAGTTCTCCATTACAACTTGTTCAGAAAACAAATATACTAACATAGACGCTTCATCATGGCTCCAGAGGTCTCTTCCAAAGGTTTTTCCACAGGAGAGAGCAAAATTTGTTTGACTTGTCTTCTCCACCCCATAGCATTTTTACCATATTTGGCTTCCAGGGATCCCAAGGTCTTCAGCTTCCAGGGAGTCCAAGGAGGCTGCACTATAGAGAAAGTAATGTAAAAGTCTTGTGTTTCAAGCTGGATACCCCTCATAGTACTCCATGTCCTCCTGAATTTTCAGTACTTTTCAACCAATTGCTACTGTTAACACCTCATTATGGTGTCCGGTTATTTCAGTTTTATTTTCCTAGTTTTCATGTATCAGAACTGTAGGGTTTAATCTTCTGGTTCTCCAGAAATTCTGCTCAAATAGCCACGTGAACTATTCTCCAGAACAAATAAAGGTCTGGAAAAATAATGATTACTAGATGTATTTTAATATTGCCTTCGCTACTTTGTGCTTATTTTAGATTCTGTCTTAGCTCAAAGTTCATACTTTTTTTCTTCACAAGTAACTATTCAGATGAGCTCAGTGTAAATATAATTTAATGAAACTCTTGATCACACTTTGCATAATTGCACACATTTCTGGACGAGGATATTTCTTCTAGTTAAATGGAATATAATCTTGGATGAAGGAGACATCTCTTATGCAGAAGCAGCCCAGAATAGATAAGTTATTTAAACATCCTGGAATTAGGTAATTACTAAAATATATTTTGAGTGCCTTTTGAGATGAATCATATCCATATTGGTTCTGTGCTATTCATGAAGCATGGTCTACTTAATCTAGTTTAAAGAAGATTCAGTGAACAAAGACTTAAAATCCATTCAGATTTGGAAGCTCAATTCTTGACATTTATCACACTGTACACTGGTAAAATAAGAGTAACTTACACAAACTGAAAATTAAAAATTTTCATCACAGTCATCACAAAACATAGATGTTTCATACTCTCATCCCACATTCAAAAGCACATTCAAAAGCTTCATCTGAAGTCACTTTTTTCCTAACTGCACAACTTTCTCTGATTAGAATATGAAGTCATGTACCTGCCTTACTTCTGTTCCAAAAGGTGGAAGAAGTCCTGCAGAGGCTGAACTTGTATGTCTTTTCTGAATGTCTATATTGACCTCGATTTCTGCATTAGCAAAAGGTTCCCAGGAATCTTATTGCAAACTGGTGGACCAAAGCATTGTATAAAACTAATTTAAAATTAAATTTCATATACGATAATACAAAATAGAGTGTGTGCCTAGATTGTATTTAAAGTGAACTAACTAAATGTGGGTGGGGTAGGCACAATCATGTGTCGCATATTTAAAAAATCTGATGTGACAAAACTTCTGGAAAAAGAGCAGTCCTTTATCTTTAAAAAATAAATAAAAGTGCTCTTGTGCAAATGACATGAAAAAGGTTCCTGTAACTATGAGCACCTTACTCATTACTCACATTAGATGTGGAGTAATCTCTGACAGATGTTGGATCTCTGTTTCCAAGGCCATAGAGGGTCAGATAGTTTGATGTCAAAACATGTTGTGTTTGCTAAATGTCCACAACAAAAAAATAACTTTTAGAACAAAAGAAAACTCTGTGACCTCCCATGTATAATGCATTGTCCTTGTTCTTATCTTTTCTCATCATTATTTTCACCTTGCTTTGAACTTTCTCTGTTTGAAGACAGCTTAACAAGCTTGTTAGCAAAATTAAATGATTGACAGACATTCTTGAGTCTTCTGTTCCAAATGGAGTACCATTCTTTTTCCACCTTTGCCTTCTGTCATGCACGTCTCCATTGTTTATTTTGACATCACTCTGAGCTTTGATTTTGTTCGTTTTTTGCATTTGATGAGCACTGATGTGAGAACAACTCAAAGGTGCATTCACTTTGCAACCTAGTTATTTTAGTCTCAGTTTCTTCTTTCATTCAACTAGATCCACATCTTCTCTCTGTAATAAACAATGACAACTCTGCTGTATAGTAGTTTATGAATGCAGTTGGGTTTTATATTTACTTTAATGCCTTTCCTCTTTTCCCAGAAATCTAGTTACATAATTAGCAAACTTGTCTTTCAGAGAATTACTTACTATATGTTTGTTCCAGTGAATGATTCTTCCTGGTCACAAAACAAATCACAAGGCAAGGGGTGGTGGTAAATGCATTGGCATCCTTGTTTTTATCCCACTTATCTAGCTCAAAATCCAAACCATTCAGAGACTGAACAGCAACAACAACAAAATTAAATATTTGCTTGGCAGAGAAAATAAATATAAATCCAAAATTATACAATTAAAAGGTAACCTGTTAGAAAACTATCCAAATTGCAGGCCAATATCTGCCTGAATCAATAGGCAAATGGAATTCAGCAAAGTCAAAATATATCATTAAAGGAGGATACATTTTTAGAATCATATAAATTGTTCAAAATGCTGTTTTAAAATGTATGAAAATAAAATTCCAAATGACCTTTTACCCAGATGTTACTAAAGGCTCTCCCAAAACAGTGAGGCTATTGAAAGTATGTTCTTTCTGTATGTGTTGAATTCATTTTCCTAAAAGGCTCGGTTTGTCAATGCAAGGATGGATCCAGAAGTATCCTTTTATGAATGCCTGGGCCTTCAGTTTAGTAGAAGCTTCTGCTAGTAGAAAGGGGAGTTCGGATTTTTTTGCTGACTTCCCCTCCCCCTGCCCCCTTCTCTTCTGCTTCCCTTTTTGTTCTAGAAAGTTCTCAATTCTCTGGATCAGATTTGCATGAGTGAAGGGAAGGAATAATCCACCAAAATGACCTTTTTGTTTTCTGTTTGCAGAAGCTTATGCTGGTTCAAAAGCTTGTCTATAAACACAGTAGCAGTGGGTTTAAATCCAAATTCTGTGTATCCAGATGCATATCTGGAGTTGCTGGCAGGGTGCCAAGGGGCACCATGTGCTTTCAGAGCCTTCTTTGGCACATGCCAAAGCTTCCTCCTTAACCTGGCTTTTTAATTTTGGTCGGTCGGTCTGTCTGTCTATCTCTGTGCTTGAAAACAAAGTACCAGCCACCAGTATTGACTTTAAATCCAAAGAATGCTTCTGGATCCTTTCTGGACCTTACAGGATACTCGTAAGAAATAAGCATGGAGGATAGCTACAGGCCGTTGTTCTGTTTGGAATGTACCAACTTGTTCAGGAAGAAAAAAATGTAATTCCTGCAGGCTTAATAGCCTCTGCTTTCTGTTCAGATATATACTTGGGAGCACTTTAAATGTTTATCAGTATTCTAAGCCACACCTTTATAACCAGTTTCAAACTCAAACATATGGGGAAAAAAACCCCCAGCTAGTTTTTATTTAATTGTATCCAAGGATTTTGATGCAGGAAATGTGATGATTCTTGAAACGGTTAATGTATGCTTCTTTTTCTGTCTAGATTATAATAGAATGAGTTGTGAACAGCTAATGTAAGGCTCTGTGAGCACATGATTGTAGGGAATATCCATTCATGAAGTAATTTTTTTGCCTAAGACCGGTAGACTCCAGTAAACAACTGTGTGCTATATCTCCAATCTCTATAATTTGTAACTGTATATTCCTTGTCACATTGCTAAAGAGTGGTTAACTTGCTATATTTCAAAAATCATCCCAATTTTGCTTTTCCTTTTACAGGTTTTTATGTTAGACAACATTTAAAGTATGACAATTACATAAGAATTTGGACAAAAAAAGAGGTTTTATGTCTGCATAGTCAGCATTATCACATTTTGTCTAGTATTCCCTTATATCTTGATTGTTACTATGCAAATAAACAGTTAGAAAATCTTTATTTTTACTATATTAAGTCTCATTCTTCAGAAAGAAGTGATGATCGCTAATGTATATAATGCCTCTGTGGATCCATTTTACCCCCAGTTAATTTTTTTTTAAAAAATGGTGACTACAGATTTCTTGGCTTTAGGCATTATTTGTACCTAGCTGTAGACACCTCACTCATCAGTTTATTTGGGGGTGGAGGAACCAGCAGCATAATCAGTAGGTCTTTTGTTTCTATGTGTGTCTTTTTTCTTTTCTTTTGTATGAAACTACATCAATCTATAGTCACGATTTAGAACCAACAAATGACTTTCAGGAATGGCACTAAAAATACCGAGGTAGCCAATAAATTTGTTTCCCTTCTTTCAATTAGATCCAATCCCTTTTATGAACCCAAAGCAAGTTCTGCTTTAAATGATCAAGTTACTTCCGTGCAAGAAACAGAAAGGAAGATGAAAAGAAAAGCTCCGGAACCACCAATTCTCTCACCAAAGGTAGAAAGAGAAGCAAGTGAGAACATGTCAGCTATTCATGCAGTGAAAGAGCTTTCCTCTTCTCCTAAGGTGTGTACGACCTTGTCACCAATCTTTGCTAAAAGTTGAAATCCCTCTTCTTCTGTTGGACGTGTTGGCAACCTTCTCGGTTAATACATACGATCTTGGCTATACATCCTCCACTTATCGTCATTTATTTCGTTCCGAATGGGCAGAACCAAGAGGTTGAAATCTGATGCAGTGACACAACCAAAGAAATTTCTAGACAGGAGGGCTGGTCTCCAAATCGTTGCACTGTTTTTTTCAAGCAGGGTGCAAACTGTAGCTGTGCATTCAGAGAGCTATGTTGCAGACTTCTTTAGGACTGAAGTAATACTACTCAGAACAGTATTGCCACTTTTAGCACTTTCCACTCACCTCCCACAGTATGTTTAGTCCCCCCAAAATAGGCACAAAATGTACTGAAATTGGGATTTTATTCAATTACAAGTCTTGAAAACAGAATAAAAGTCTCTGAAATAAATGAAAATATATCTCACAGAAAAAGTTTTAATTAGCAAAGGCTACAGTGAAATGCAGATTATACAGCCCAGAATTTAAAACGTGATGGCTGTAATCTTATGTATCCTAACCAGGGATTAAATCCCACTGAGCAAAATATTTTACCTCAGAGTAAAAATATTTGGGATTGCTCTAGTAACCATTTAAAAAAAAAAAAAGATGTTTGATTTTTCGCAAATGATAGGCTTTCAGAGCAAGGGTAAATAACCAGTGCTCCCAGATGCAAGGAATTATCTGTCATCTAAAACATACAGTATTGGGGAAGTAAATATATTGTATATATTTACTTCCCAAATATAATTTTAAGAAACTTTGATGTATACATGTCAGAAAACCTGTTAAGAAACGACAGCAAAATCGGAGATAGGTTACACACAACTTTTAGCGGCACAATCCAAATTGTAAATAACTTTTGAATTCTGCCCTTAGAATAACATTGGGTCAGATCTGGACTTCATGTCCTGCAGATGTAAGGGCTCCAATCTATGGAAAACCTTAGATTTAGCAGAGGAATTCTCTGAGCAGAAAGGAAGAAGGCAAAGCCCTCCCCTACTCTTTGGATAGATTTTGGAAGCACAGATAGTTGCAGAAGGAGGAGAAAATATGCCCTCCTGATAGGAAATTCCCCAGCAGAATTCTGCTTCAGTGATGATCATGCCAGTAGAATCAAAGTCTGGGTCCAACCCATTTAGTAAACCTGCCTTTATATTTTCTTACCTTAGATAAGCTTGCCCTTTTCCCAGATGAAACCGTCAAAAAACCTTCAATATTTTTCTTTAATTCTAATTCAGCCTGCCTGGAGTATGTTGACTGATTCTTTTTGAACAAAATAATGTGCTTCTGTTTCTTCTGTTCTGTGAATTTACTGGACCTTAGGTGTGGCAGTTGATGCTTAAAGGGTTGGAATGAGCTATTTTTCAAGGAGATCTAGCACAGAAGCGCAGGAATGTGTTCTATTGAACAATTGCTTCTTTCCTTTCATCCATTCATCCAAAAATGGTTGCGTGTGAGGGAGAACAAAATGTGTTATTTAAAGTCACTATTTGATTTCTTATAGGACCCCCTACCTTTAAACAATACTAAACATGTTCTGCATGCCATTGTGATACCTGGATCACACTGAGCGAACCAGATTAGGCAAATATTCAGAAATGATTCAGGTTGCTGATTCTTATATTGTCCTTCAAATAACAAGAAATACTATGATAAGCTTAAGAGTTCCATCTTCATTTTGTAACTTATTAGCCTGAAGTGAAAATTGCATGCAATAATATCACAAGAAATGTATTTAGTTATAAATAGCACACAAAAACAACTTTTTTTTTCTTTTTCCCCATAATCCGTGATTTGAAACCTCCTTGTATGAATGTGCTTTTCATTTTAAGGCAGAAAAGGAGAGGAGAAAAATATCTTTCGCCGTGTCCTCCAGACCCTTTTTAAAAACCTGTAGCTGTTCTTAAGAGCCGTGTATTTTAGATATCATCATTTCAGTTAAGAGCTGAATGGGACTCCTTGTCACATCTATCAAACTACTACTTAATTATGCAGAGGAGTTGCTGATGAATTCCTGTCGCTCAAGGGCTGAGTTTACCGGTGCCTCAATTCTCCCAAACAAGGTAGAAAGAGTTTGATACCAGAAGCTTCCCCTGGGGAGTGTTTATCAGCAAGACAAAATACAGAGAAATGAAGCCACTTGGACTGGCAACCAGAGTGTAGAATTGCACTTTTAAAACTTGCTGTATTGGCGCACATAAGCTTAGGTTTGTTTGCAGTAGAGTTTCTGTGATAAGACTGAAACATCTTACTTGGTTTCTGATTTGAGATTAACAAACAAGCAATTTGGTCAAAAGTTCAGATAAGATATTGACACTTAAATTGAGGATAGGAAGAAACTACTTGTGAAGATATATAACAAGTTGTATATGGTGTGTGTGTGTGTTTCTTTTAATCTGCTTACTCGGTTGATTCAGGGTCCATACCTACTATTCCGTTACTCCAAATCTAGTTTGGGAAAAGGGAAGAAGGTTACCTGATTAAAGTCTGTATGAGTTTTCTATGAGTAAATGGAGCTGAATAACACCCCATTTTATTCCATCATTCCAACTTGATCCAGGGAGTATCTCCATTTATTATGCATGACTGTTGTTATGTTTACAAATCTGGGTGGGAAAGAGACAATTTGTGAATGTTATCTAAATAGGTAGGGAAAACCTATTTAGTTATTCAATATATTTTGATTTCTGTGTTTAGCTTTCTATTTACATATAATTTCTTGCAGGATGACCCCTCAATAAGGGGTTCCAATCTATTGCATTCTAAATAGTGTTTCCTATTATTCTTACTCTCTTATGTGCAGCTCAGGACCCTTGATTCTTGTAGAGCGGCTATGAAGCTCTACAAAATTTGGAAAGTGATGTCTGTGAACAGAGTGCCTGCCACAGGCATTTTCTTAGTATTCTTTGCAATTGATTTGAAATGGACTTTCATTTGCTTTTTGCTGACCACTTTCATTTCTTGAGGACTGGTCTCAGTAACGTTAGCACATCAGCATCTAACGACTAGGCCTGAAATATTAATTTTAAAATATATTAACTATATTCTCCTTGCTCTAGTCACCATGTCCCTCCCACCCTAGCTTTTACTCCAGCAATTTTTTTTTAATATAGAATGCTGTAATGCCATTTCCTTTTCCTGTCACTTTCCATCCTTTATCTCTAATTCATCTTCCTCTATTTAAGAACTATACGTGTTGATTTTAAGAAGCTTTTGTTCTACAAATATTAATGTAGCATAGTTCCTGATGTACTTAAATAAGTATATGGATATCTGATATCCATATAAGTCACCCAGAAATGGATAGGGTATAAACACATATTTGTATTTTTGTATGAACTTTGTTTTATATTGTATTTTTCTATGTGAGCCACTGAGAGGTTTTTTTTTTAATTATTGTGGAGGCATACAAATAAGTTTCCTTGCACCCAAAACGGAAATGGCAAAATAAGTATTCAGAGGTATTTTCTGTGGATTGCTACCCAATACCTACTATTCAGAAATACATAGTCAGTGAACCTAAGAATTTCCTATTAAAAGCCTTTGATAACCATTTTTTCCTTCACGAATATTGTAATATCCTTTTAAAGCCATAAATACTAATGACTAGCATCACATTTTGTGACAATGGATTCCTTAAGTTAATGATGGTGATGTAAGAATCTTTTACTTTATTCAGGTGTTGAAATACTCTCCATTTATGTGACAACATAAGAACAAGTGCATCTTTCATAATAGGTTAGCCATTTTGCAATTTGAAAATATGCTTTAGCCAGATAATTCTAATTTTCAACAGATTCTCTTGTTGTTGTTGTTGTTGTTACAATCTTTGGAATTAGGTTAAGCAAAATATATTATTTATATATGTAAGAATCTTTTAACACTAAAATGTTCCTACGGCTTAGTATTGTAGTTAACTCTCTTGCACAATTGTACCTGACTACAATAGATATGTACGTATGCCAGATAAATGGTTCTTGTTCTCAGAACATTTGATGGCATGAAGGAAAGGCCGTACTGGTACACTCAGATTTCGAAACTTGTTTCCAACCAAATTTGCATGCATTGGAGCTGTAATGGATTTGCTATGTACCCCTTTATTATTGACATACCCCGCATATTTCCCCTTACTGTGTCATCTTAGATTTAGTTTGCTCTTTCTTCTTACTCTTCCACATAATGTTTTATTTTTGCTGCTGTTCTTTAAAGGTAAATTAAATCTTGGAATATTTTGGGACAAATCTAATTCCTAAATAAAGTTCAGTATAACTTTTCTATGCAATCTGTAAGATTGATTGATGTTCTTAGAAATAGCAGATCTCTATCACATAGATTTATATTAAACAAAGATTAACTATAACTTTTAGTAAACAAGTTCAAAAGAAGGAACACGCTACTTATTTGCATGAGAAATTGTTTCTATATGCAAAATGTGAAGGCAATGGTGTAGGATAATACAGCAATTACTTAACATTATTAATACTGTATACCATTGAGTTTTAGAAACAGTCTTTCATAAAAAGCTTGTAAAAAATGGTCTTATGACAATGTTATTACTTATGTTGGAGTTTTTTTAATGATTTTTATCAAGGGAGCTAAATTGCTATGGTCAGATTATGTACTTTTGATTTAGCATAATATAATATTTAAATTTCTTATACAATTGTAACTATCATTCACACTGATGTGAAATCTAACAATAATTTTGGAAGTTCATAAAGTTTATCAGATGGGAAATCATCCTGGAAATATGGCATACTATGATAAATGAGGGAGATAGCAATCATCAAAGACTTGCAACTGACTTCTAAGTCAACATAACTCCAAGGTGATGAAAGCATTCCATTTAATTCCAACACATTTTTTACAAACGTGGGTGGCTTAAAGGTTTTTCTTTTAAAGGAAAAAACAAACATTTCTTAAATTCAGTAAGGGTGTGGCCAGGCCCTAAACTGTCCAAATTTGTTTTTACCAAGTGTATTTTTTTTTCATTCGTGCAAGATAAATTCAAACACCATTTTCACAGGACTTTAAGTAATACAGATAGTCCCCAGGTTTAAGGACCATAGTTAAGAATGGAGCCCATTGTAGCAAAATTCAAGTTAAATACTCAATGATTCAAATGAAATACACAATGGTTCAAGTTCATTACACAATACTACTTATAGAGTATGATACAATAATAATGTTCCAGCTTACATACATATTCAACTTAAGGACAGGCCTTGGGAATAGAACTTGTTCTTAAATTGGGGACTACCTGTACTTGCCTGAATTGATAGTTCATCATCGCCGAAATATTAAGAGGAGTATTTACCCTAAGCATTTATCTTGGACTTCTGCTAGTACGTTTTCCAACTAAGCGCGTTCATGATGTGCAATTCAC